GTAATGTTGTCGGTTTTCATATTGATTTGGAGAAGTATATCACTTTTCGGTAACCGTGCATCAATATTGGATTTCAATATATTCTTTGAATTCAATTCACTGTTACTTTTGGTGATTTGCTTTTGCTGTTGCAAATTGTCTATGTATATTTCAACTCCATATCTAAATTGTATGTTTAGATTAATTTGCTTCTCGGTTGTCGTGCTTCTTATATAAGAAGTTGGAACTTTTTCTACTGTTACGACATTTTCTGGTTTGTGTTGTGTGCACTTTTCCATTTCTGTGTTTCTGAAATTGTGTTTGTTGAATAAACCGTCTCTGTTTCGATCGGTATAATTATTTTTTTGGATAATATGTTTCTGAGTTTAAATATTGTCAGAGAAAACAAATCCTTATGTGTGCACTGTTACGATATTGCATTCATATTCATATATCACTCATAGTATTTATTCCTTTTCGGTTTTCGTATAATGAATTGTGAGTTCATGAATTGTGATCCAAAGTCTGCAATTCTGCATACATAATCACGTCCCGTCATATGCAGTGAATTAATTTTGTCATTTAAATGTTGAGTTTCTTGAATTATGGATGGCAATTGCCATGTGTGAACTGATAAGGGTTGCTTCATTCTTGAATAAGATTCGAACATAGTGCATGCATGGGCACTGTAACTCGAAGCATACTCGTGTGGCCTGATGAGGGTTGCTTCTCTCTTGAATAAAATTCGAACATATTGTATGGGAACTGCAACCCGAGGCATACCGGAACTCTAAGAAATGCTGGTTTCATATTTAGATTAATCGGTATATCCCTATATTCATGCTACGTCAAATTTCATGATGTTGATGATATTTAATAACATATACATCTGTTTGTTGGTATGCATTTGGTACTGAGCCTGTTTGGATTCTCTTATTTTTAAGCTAGAAGCTACTTATAAGTTAAAGCTAAAAAAAAGAACTTAAAAAAAAAGCTAAAAACTGTTTGAAAATTACATAAAAATTTTAGCTTAAAAATTAATTAAAAGCACATATTTCAAGAAAATTATCTCTCTCATTTTCTTTATCACTCTTCATTTTTAAAAAAAACACACAATTCAAGAAAAATAGATAAGAGCTTAAAAAAAAGCTCCTTCTAGGAGCTTTTAGTTTTCAGCTTTTTTCTTCATTATAAAAAAAAAGAGTTTTTCGTTATAAGAGCTTTTCTCAAAACCTGTTTGGCCTAGCTTATGCTTATAAGTAGCTTCCAGCTTAAAAATAAGAGGATCCAAACAGGCACTATATGTGATGATTGTGTATTATTTTATGGTTAAATTGGAATTTATTATTTGGTATATGTGTTATAGCCAAATAATGTTTAGTAAGAAAATTAAATGCTTAAGGAGCAATTGAGGGGGAGATTATGATGACCCTTCAAAGAGTTTTGTTTGGAGTGTGGTATTATACGCCAAATGATTGCGCACTGCAATCCAATGGGATTACTGAGAGAAAGAACCGGATATTAAATGAAATGATGTTGTTGACGTCTGGCTTGTAGGGGAAAATTATATTAATGACAAATTATATAATCATTAGAGAGCCCCATAAAAAAAACAAAGAATATTCCCTATGAAATATGGAAAGGTAGGAAGTCTACTTTGAATTATCTTAAAGTGTGAGGGTACTTGACTAAGGTCGTGATTTCAAAACCAAAAGGGTTAAGATCGGACCAAAAACAATGGACTATGTGTTCATTGGATATGTACATAATAAAAGTATATATCGATTATGATGTAAATTGAATCATTGACACCAAGTCCACAAGTGGGTATGTGTACACACATGGAGGGGGTGTTGTATCTTGGAAATCATCCAAGCAAACATGTATTACAAGATCGACCATGAAGTAAAATTTATTGCCTCGGATAGAGTCGATGGGATAGTCGAGTGGCTATGAAGCTTCCTTGAGGATATTTCGAACTGGCCGAAGCCAGTGCCTACAATGTGCATACATTGTTACAGTCAGGCAGTGATCGGAAGGGCAAGGAAAGTTATGTATGATGGTAAGTCTCGAATTGTATATTAGAGTCATGATCCCGTGAGGCAATTACTCTTTAGTGGTATTATTACGGATTCGTTAACTAAAGGTTTGACTAGAGAGTAAAGGGAAATTTATCGAAAGGAATGGGTTTAAGGCCTATCAATTGTTGATTATTGCGGTAACTCTACCTTGATGAGCGGAGATCCCACGAACTAGGTTCAAAGAGACAACTAAGTGATGATCGACTGTTAACACTGTGGAGTTTCTAAGCTCATACTCATTCCTATTACAAACAGTGTATATGAGGGTAAGCATTTATGCTTTTAATGGTTTCTTAATCTGATGTGTTCAGATAATATATGTTGAGTGACATCACAAGGAATCACCTATGTGAGTGTGAAGTGAGGGCCGCTTCTATGAGAATTTATAAAGGTCGATTCTTTAGAACACTCATAGAACCAGACAGGTGTCCCAAGGCCAAAATGGGCACAACAAAGGACCAACAATGTTCGAGAAGCAATTGTGTGACTCCTATTGTCTAGGTGTACACAATAGGTTGACGGTTCAAGTCGCCCAGACCACCGATTGACCGAGTATATCCGATAGGTTTCATTAGAGATCAAAGGTAACTCTACCTATCTCGATGCAATTGTTTCTCGTTGAGGAATTTACATTTTGCATTCACGTTCATATGCATTTATTCACGATGAATTGACTTCTTATCCATGTGGGGTATTGTTGGATTTTTGGGTCTAAATCTCATGGGTTATGAATAGGAAGTTTGATATGAAAATGTGTGTCTTTTTGTCGTCGAATGGATGTGTCTTTTTGTCGTCGAACGGATGTGTCTTTTCATGTCGAACTAATATGTCTTTTCATGTCGAACAGATGTGTCTTCTCGTGTCGAACATATGTGTTGTTTCGTCGATGAAAAAGTACCTTTTGAATCGCGACCTTACGTTTCTATAAATATATAGAGTCAGAATTCTAGTTAAGTTTAAAAGTTGTTTTCTATGTATTGTGCATCCATACCATAAAGTGTGATTTTCTCAGACGTTCAGTTGTCTTCGTTTGGGCTCTTGATTGATAATGCCATCATTCTTGAGACGCAATCGGTTCTCTCTCCGGGAGATAATTGTTCATCAACCTTCGGCATCAATAGAGGGAACAAATTGTCTTAAGGAGACAACATCTGTTGGCTTGGATTCATCTACATAGTGACATCTCGTTCATATATCATATGAGTTCGTTCCTTATTTTTATTGCACTTTAATTGCAAATTTAATTATAGCATTTCGTTGCACGAATTCATATCTCTCGGTAATTATTCGCTCACTGTATAACAGCTACTTGGTAGAGGAAGTGAACCACAATACAAGGACAGAGGGGGACGGACGAACCTGCTTTTGTGTTTCTGCTGTTAGAGGAGCTTGGCTTTCAATCTCTAAATTCCGTCCTTTTATTCTTGTCTCTTGAATTGTGTTTTTTATTTTATTTCATCAAATGTGATGTCATTTGAAGGGTTTTTTTTTTCTTGAAAAACAAAACAAAAATTGTATGATGTAAATTGAATTGATTTAATAACATTGCCCTAACCACCAATTAGGTCAATAAACTGATAATGGCTTGTTTAAACTCAATCATTGATTTTGAATTCAAATCCTCCTGACGTTCAACAAACAAACAAAAATCAACAACACTTAATATGCGGATCTGCTCTTAATGCACCAATGTTTGGCCCGTCAAGCTCGAGCCACTTTGTGTGATTCTCAGGCAAATGCCAACTCATAATTTAACTATATAAGCTGAACAAATGCCAACTGTCCAAGTGAACCCACCAAGCCACTTCCCTTAATTTCCCTAAATTCTAAACCCTTTTATCCTTTTAGATGCATTAAAATATAGAATTTATTACTTTGGTGTGAGATGGATTTTAATTATAAGAATGGTGCAAAATTAAGAGTGACCTCGACGCAGATAAGTTGTGAGCACGTTAAATTTATGAGAAAATTATTTTCGCTTTTATTGTAGAAATAGGTTTCTATTGCATACAGTGTATTCTCGTGAATACACTGTGTGCTAACTTCTTCTTCTTTAAATTAATGGATACTGTTTTTTTTTTTTTTTTTTAAAAGAATGTTTCTGCGGCAGATATACATTCCCTGACGCCGCTGCATAAAATTAAACCCATAAATTTATTTACCAAAATATATTGGTTTTTTAATGTTGAAAAGTTAATTACTTATTAAACAACTTTTAAATTTTTTTTATAATTTATTGAACGACAAGAATAAGTGCTTTTTGGAAAAAAAAAAATTAAGTTAGAAGCTATTTACAAGCAGAAGCCAGACCAAACAGATTTTGAGAAAATCTCTTAGAAAAGTTCTTTTTTTTATAATGAAAAAAAAGGTTAAAAGTCAAAAAAAAATTTAAGTTCTTATCAATTTTTCTTAAATTGTGTACTTTTTTTTAAATAAAAAATTATAAAGATAGAGAAATTTTTCTTGAAACATGTGCTTTTAATAACTTTTAAGCTAAATTTTTTATATAATTAACAAACAGCTTTTAACTTTAGCGTAGAAGTAATTCCTAGCATAAAAAAAAATCTAAACAAGCTCTAAGAAATGTATTTCTTATAATTGACTTCTGAACTTATTTATTTTTTAAATAAATTACATTTTTTTTATGGGATGCAAAAAAACACTAGGAAGTGAGCCGTATTTATAACACAACAACAACAGTCAACTGGTTTCAGATATTCTACTCTATTTTTACTCAAATCAACAGAAGAATCTAGTAATGCCGTATTTATTTCAAATAGTTATAAATTACAGCAGAAACAGAAGGATCACTGTCTTCTCTAAGCTTCGTGTTTTCATGAACATAGTACATTGTATATGCACTTTCATCTATTTGTATATTTGATACATAAAGCACGCACACATAAGCATATATTATATAAATTGTCGTCATCTTAATCTATGAATCTGGCATTGATTCGAAAGCTGCATGATGTAAGACGATCGCAATGGACATGGAGTCCCTCTTCCTTCTTCTTCTTCTTCTCCTCCTCCTCGCTTCCACCATTAGAACACGCACGCGCACACATACAACAGCTACTTTGTCATTGCTCCAACTTGAACCATATTCAACAAACCCAATGCTTCATGTTTACAAGAGGTTTGGATCAAGATGACATCTTACTCTCCCGATTCATATACACTTCTTCTTCTTTAGGGTTTTCCTCTTATGCTTATTCTGTTTTCATCTACAATCACCGACCCAGTATCTTTCTCTACAACACAACCATCTGGGCTCTATCCTCTGCAAATTCCACACGTGCCATTTCTCTATTCAACACCATTCGCATGCTTGGTTTGCGACCCGACTCTTACTCTTTCCCTTTCGTTTTGAAGGCCGTTGTTTCCTCATCAAACGTCGTCGTTGGCAAGCAGATTCATTCCCAAGCTATTGTTGCTGGCTTGGAATCACATCACAGCGTGGCCACTTCCCTCGTTCAGATGTATTCTTCTTGTGGGAACGTTTCTTTTGCTCGGAACCTCTTCGATGGTGTTGCTTTGAAACATGTCCCACTCTGGAATGCCATGATTGCAGGTTATGCTAAAGTGGGTGATATGGCTAATGCACGCAACTTGTTTGATTTTATGCCTGAGAGGGAGAAAGATGTTGTTTCATGGACTGCACTTATTTCAGGTTACACACAGAGTCATAATCCCAATGAAGCTATCATGCTCTTCCGCAGAATGCAGTTACAGAATGTGCAGCCAGATGAAATTGCAATTTTGGCTGTTCTCTCTGCTTGTGCTGATTTGGGTGCTTTTCAGTTAGGGGAATGGATTCATAACTACATTGAGAAGCATAGGTTGCGTAAGATTGTTCCTCTTTATAACTCGCTCATAGATATGTATGCTAAATCAGGGAACATAAGTAAAGCACTCCATGTGTTTGAGAATATGAAGCATAAAACGGTTATAACATGGTCAACAATGATTGCTGGATTTGCTTTACATGGTTTAGGAAAGGAGGCACTTCATGTATTTTCTTGCATGGAGAAGGCTCGAGTCAAGCCGAATGAAGTCACCTTTATCGCTATTCTTTCGGCTTGTAGCCATGTTGGTTTGGTTGAGGTGGGACGCGATTATTTCGCCTCTATGAGGTCCAAATATGGGATTGAACCAAAGATTGAGCACTACGGCTGCATGATTGATTTGCTTGGTCGTGGTGGCTATCTTCAAGAAGCAAAAGAACTAGTTAGGATGATGCCCTTTGAAGCAAATGCAGCTATATGGGGATCCCTTCTTGCTGCTTCAACTAGATGTGGTGATGCTGAGCTAGCAGCAGAAGCTTTGCGTCATCTCATAGTGTTGGAGCCTCACCATTGTGGGAATTATTCACTCTTGTCCAATACCTTTGCTGCTCTTGGTAGGTGGAGTGAAGCTCGGATGGTAAGGAAGGTTATGCGGGACAAAGGTGTGGAAAAGGTACCTGGTGTCAGTTTTATTGAAATGAACAACAGGGTATATGAATTCATTGCTGGTGACAAATCAAACGTGTACTTTGTTGGCATATGTGATGTCCTGCATAGCATAAATAGACAACTGAAGGTGGTTAATTTGAATAGGGCATGTAGAGGACACTAGATGTTGATGACTGATGCAGATTATTGTATATATCCGGATTCCTTTTATAAGGTTGCGCTTGATGGACCTGAGGAACAGCATAAGAGAACAGGACAACACAATTAGCTGAGGTACAACACAACTTCCTTTGACAAATATTTTAGTACTTCATCCTTAGCTTTGTCCTTTTCCATGATTATTTTTAACATCAAACTTTGGACGAAGAGTTTTTTCCTATCCAGAACTTTGTTTTTAAGTAATTCAAACGGACCCTAAAGCTGTGTTTATTGTTTTCCTTCAGTACAACTGAAAACATATCCCTTTCAAGCATCACTGTGAAACAACTTCTGTCGATGCCATGTTTTACTCAGGCAAGTAGTTCTTTTTCACGTTGGTAAACCGAAGTGCCATGAAAGGAGGCCGAGGCAGGACACCAGTACAACAGACCAGAAGCGTACAAGAGTGTGAAGTCTACATGGCTGGCTGACTAATTTTGAAACCCTTGGAACTAGCTATTTCATTCTGATACTCGAATCTCCTCTGACTGCATTTATCAATTATCAAATATAAGTGTATCGCCTTCTAATAATCTAGTTTTCCAACCTTCTTTCCCCCTTTTTTTCTCTTTATTGCAATGAAAACTTCATTCTAATATTCTTTCTGAAGTGTTACAAATTACAATTATTATGTGACCTTTAAGTAATTCTAAATTTCTAACTACACATGCAAGATGTAATTGTGAAAATTTGCTCCTCTCAGCTATCCTGATATATCAGATATACGACTCTTCTGATCACCTATTATTATCCCCCTTGTTCTCTTTTATTTCACGTCTACTGTCGTGATAAATCATTCCGATTCATTTATTGTATGTTCACAGTGAATTTCAGATTTTCTAGTTTATTCATTTATTTGTCATAGGCTACTTGGTCTCGCTTAAGTTAACTTAGCAGCCTTTGATAGATAACTTTTTTTTTTTGTGCGGAGGAATCATGATTTCTAAAAATATGATGAGAAAGTCATTTTTCCGATAATGTTATCCAAAAGTTGTTTAATAGGTCAAAATATTATCAGAATTTTGCCAAAAAAAATGTGAAAATTTTCCAACACCTGGGATTCAAGAATATCACCCATTTGATAGTATTTTTGTATGGTATTTTGAAAAAAAAATATTTATATACAAAACAAAATTCTGAAAAAATCAGATTCAGAATTTTTTTAAAAACCTTATACCAAACATAAATAAATAAAATTATCAGTGCCACTTTTCCGGAAATCTCAAAAAAAATTCCTCATATCCAACACCCTCTAAATTGTTTTGCATCAAGTTTTAAAGGATTACTTAATTCATGCATCAACTTCTTGTACTCTAAAAACTTTTACTGCAGTGTAAGGCACTCTAAAAACTTCACAAGTGGCATGAATTATCTATACACTTTAAGGCACTCTAACATTTAGCATGCCACTTTTCAACTTTTACTGCAGTGTAAGGCACTCTAAAAACTTAAATAAATTTAGGGATTAATGTTTCATATATTTTAAAATATAATTTTAATTTTTATATATACATAAAAATATGTAAAGTTTATGTGAATTCATGTAAAAAAAGACAGAAAAAAATACAAACCTCACAATTTTTATATATATGCAAGAAATATTATTTTCATAAATTTATGTGTACAAACCAATTTTTGTCTCTAGCTTATATATGACGTAAGCAATGACATATAAAAGTCACTTTTCGGTGGCGGAAAATGAAACTGTTGTGCTATCAAATTGTACAAGAAGTTGTGGCAATGCGGAAACGTAAGTTTAGAGTATGAGTAACAAATTTTTTTTACCTATAAATATAGGCCTTCTCTTCTGTTCTGAACGGATTTTTTTTAATATACTTCCAGATTACAATTTTATTTGGGTCCTTTATCAAAAAAGAAAATATTTCTTCTATTTATATTTTTGTTTGTTTTTTTTTATTTTCTCTCAATCCTTTTTTTTCTATTTTTGAAAAGGAGAAAAAAAAACTCATTCTAAACATCATAAAACTGAGACACAAATAACTCAATGTCTTTTTGAGGGAGATATATTCTTCTTATATAAGAAAAATGATATTATCCCCTCTTGTATTTTAAAGAGAAATAGTAATTTTTTTCATTTAGTAAATTTTTTTAATACTCTTTCTCGTTATTTTTTCCAATTGAGTTTTTCAAGTAAATCTTGTATGTCACGTGAATTGATGTAGTTGTACATGTTGACTTCTGGACTTGTGGAATTGAGATAAAGATAATTCATATAGTTTTTTTTTTGGAAAACTACAAGAGAAGACAGAAAACTAACTAGCTATTCTGGGTCTCTCAATACCCATTCTGTCTTTAGCTACCAGATCAATACAATCTTTCAGAGGTGAAGGATTTATAAGGATATTTCTCTTAACATATAAAGCTTGGTGAGTCATCCAATCAGCCACCATGTCACCCTCCCTAAGAGTGTGATTTAGCTGCAAGTTCCAATTGCGACCAAGAAATTCTCTCACTTTTATTCTAATAGGAGCTAACAGGTGATCACTTATTCCATCTTGTTCTATGAATTCCAACACTTGAGAAGAATCTCCTTCCAAAATAATGTTTCTAAAACCCCCCCTCCCTAGCTAGTTTCAGATCTATTAGAAAGCTCCATAGCTCTGCTCTAAAGGAGTGGCCTTGTCCAAGGTTTTTTGAAAAACTCAAGACCTAATCTCCTTTACAATCTCTAATCACCCCACCACAATCGGAATTCAGTCCTCCCATAAAGCTTGCTCCATCCACATTTAGCTTCAGCCATCCAGAAGTAAGGGGATTCCATTTTACCATCTACACTTGCCTAGTTTGCTGAATTAGACCCCTTGCTGTCAAAGAATTTTTTTGTTGTTATGTAGCTCTCATAATCAATGTTGTCAAACTCAAATTTTTACGTAGAAACAGAAAGGGGTGGTAGAAACGTAAAACGTAGAAACGACACGAAACATAAAACGTAGAAACGACACGAAACATAAAACGTAGAAACGACACGAAACGTAAAGTTTCTACTTTCTACTACTTAAGATCAAGATACAAAATTATATATATATGCATGTAAAAAAATCTCACATAATGAACATGTGTGTTGAGCCACTTATCTATCTAATTTTTTTTTTTTTGATAACCAAGTATCAAAATTATAAACAATGATAACTAACAAGTAATGGATAATCAATCTGCTCTAAGTGCTTCATACACTCTGCAGATTTTGGATCATCACTCATCATGATATAATTCCACTTCTTTCAAAGCACACAATGATTCAAAAACACAAAACGATTCTCATAGCATAACTTATAATAGAATTGCAGTTCTATAAGACATAATTATAAAAGACATATTTTCAAACAAAAAGATATCAAGATATTGTGCATATGATTTGGGGAAAACGAAGATTGGGTTTTTTTAATTCCTTTTTTTGTAATTTTTTTTTTAATTTTAAGTAAAAATGGTAAAAATGTAAATTTTTACCGTTTTTACTTTTTTACACGGCGTTTTTACCAGTTTTTACCGAGAGCAGTTTTTACTTACGTTTTAACACGCACCACTCTAGTAAAAACGTAAAAACATAAGTTTTACGTTTTTACACTAGTTTTTGACAACAGTGCTCACAATGACAAAGAATGCTATGAATGCTTCTTTGAGTATTAGGCTGAACCCCCCTTGAAGACATATTCATTTCTCTCTCTCATAAAACCCAGCAACAAATACCAAAAAGGAGAGACCAGTCTCTATTATTAGAACCAACAATTACCTTTTTAGTGTTATCTTCTATCCATTCCGTTAGGGGCTTAGAGCAAAATAGAGGCCAATAGCTTAGATAAATCAGAGCTTTCCAAACTTTTTGGGACCGTAATTCATATAGTTAGGGCTTGTTTGGTGTGATGTATAAGGCTTGATAGTATAAGCTTATACTATACGTTATAATATTTTCAGTTGTTTGGTGTGATCATCGTATGTTATAAGTTTATACAACAGAACTCCTTAATACATCAAAATGATGTATCATGCCTTATACGTCACACCAAACAGGCCCTCAGGTCTTATCCTATACTATACACCAAACATGCCCTTAGCTTAATAAGTATTTATTGTCCTTCATTAAATAAATCATCATAATAATGGAGGAAAGTATTTAATTCAAATTTAGTAATTAATTAATTAGTCACCGTTACAATTATGAAAAAACTCTTATTGAATTTATATTTACCTAACCACTGGGCGTGGTTAATGATATTTTGAAATTTCTATTTCTCTCGACTTTATTTTAACTATGTAAGACTCTATTACCTAACAAGATATTCTTATACCATTTAAATGTGGAACTAATCTCATTTAAATCATTAAAATTGTTTATGATCAAATTACAACTCAAATTATGTATCTTTAGTTAGAAAAAAAAAACATTAAAGTATATATTCATTATTTCATAGACATAAAGGATAATATCAATATTTGAATTAACCGTCGTCGAGGCACTTCCGCTACTCCTTTTTCTCTTGTATCAAGGGTTAGAACTTAGAAGGATGGACTTTTTCTATTCTTTTCTTTAAATTTTAAGTGAATTATAGATAGTTAATTTCTTATTCATATAAAAAAGGCAAAATAAAAAATAAAAAATCTAAAACATAAAAAAGGACACCATGACAATGTGACAATTTGAAGTTCGAAGTGCACCGGAGGTGAAGAAGCGATAATAACAACATAGTTGAGGGACAGATGTTGTAAAACCACTTATCATATTTCTCAAAAGTTTTACTCCTATCAAAATTCTATATCCCATACATAAATAGGGTTTGATATTTGTTTATTTAAAGGATATAAAGTTATATCATTTTAAATAAGAGAAAGATACAAATAATAAAAACCATGATAGAAGAAAATAAGTGATTTTTTAATTTAATTTTTAAATAAAAAAATTAATTTATACCTTTCCCTCACTTTAAATAACATAATTCTATATTCTTTAAAAAAAATATTTTTTTCATATAAATAAAAGGTTAATTCCATTGATACATACATTTTGCTCCCTACTCTTTTAATTATCCATTCATCTCACATCTTTGACAATACCCATCACTATTGATAGATAGTAATTTAATACCACTTCAATGTTTTTTTCATAGTCTCTGTAAATATATTGTCTTCGGGATATGGTTCTTTAGACTAGTTCTTCGTTGGAACAACGGATGCATCCGGTCACTTTGTCCTCGGAGTACGATTCTATAGGCTAGCCCCTCATTGAAACAACAGGTGCATTAAGCTTCGCTACCGGAGAAAGGATCAGATTAATCTTCCATTCGAAGAGAAAAACACATTTTCTGGTTTCTAAAGATTTTTCAAGAATTTGTTTGAAACATGATTTGAATCCCTGACTCAAGCAAACTTTCAGTTGTCAACTGAGCTACCTTTCAAAGTTATCTATTTATCCAAGATACAATTACCAATCTCCGATTAAATATCCCCAACCCTCTCAAATCGAGCAATCTTGAATTGAACATGACGAATACTCAGATTCTCTTTGAGAAAGATTTCTTTTCCTTATTGGCCTCGTACACGAAAAATCGCTAATGCTTGATAGTTACCACTTACCACTATGAGTTTAAACATATATGCTCGATAATAAAAATACATGTGTCTCATTTTCTTCCTCTGTATTCTCACGGTACACGTGTCTTCTCTACAAATGTCTCTCATTTTTTTTTTCTTTTTTGCTAGGTTTAAGGAGGTTTGTCCATTTATCCATCTAATTCCATGCTGAGATGTATTTTAAATTAAATTATTATTATAATTTTTTTATCTTCTTCAAACAGTACTAATATGTATATACTTATTAATTTTTTTTTATTTTTTAATGGAAAAAACATCTATCCTTTTAAAAGATATATAAACTTATATCATTTTAGTCGTAACCGTTGATTTCCGTTTTATAATATATTAGGTCAAACTGAATGAGTCAAATTTACTATTAATTAATAATTTATAATAATTTGGCCCATTAAGTTTAATCCAATAAATTATAACCGTTGATGGACAAAAATCAACGGTTAGGATCTAAAAAGATATAAGCTTATATCTTTTAAAATGACAGATGTTATTTCCATTTATAATATCAATTTTAAATCATTAATCAAAATTAAATCAACGACTCTTATTTAATTTATATCCAATAATAACAAAATTGATAATAAAAGATAATAAAAAAATATAGTAAATATAACCTCCCATAAAATAATTATATGTTTTGCATACATGTATAACTTAAGCGAAATGTTATACTTAGTACTTCTTTTTCTTACTACTTGTTACTACCAAATCTTAATCGTTGATTTCCGCCAATCTAACGGTTATAATTTTTTAGGTCACATTTATTAATTAATTATTAATTATAATAAATTATAACCCTTAGATTGGCGGAAATCAACGGTTAAGATTTGATAGTAACAAATAGTAAAAAAAAAGGTAGTAACTATAATCTCTCCCGTAACTTAATTATTTTATAAGTTTATACCTTGTTTAATTTTGATTAATATAGCATTAATTCTTCATAGTTATACATAAAATAAAGGGCAATATCATTTTATCCAAGTCTAATTTACCTTCTTACTCCTCAAGTTTGTCCAGATCCACCAGGGTAGTTGTGAAATGTGAACTACCGTCCGGGTAAGTGACCCAACTAAGATACAGTTGTAAACACATTCCTTCTATTAAACACTTTTATGTATTTCGATCTCTTCGAATTTCGAACTGCAAAGGCTCTATAGTGTTTTCTGAATCGATTTCCATAGAAGGCATGAATGATGAGAAGAAAATAAAAAGCGCCGTTTAGTGATCGTTATTTTTTCTCATGGCGGGAACGGGGGTTAGGTTGTGGAGGACTGCACTTTTGACGCTGAGGGATGAAACCCTAACGACACCGCCTCGTATTTCTACCTCACAAATGCTCGATAATCTCATTTTCTCCCAATCCTATAATTTGGTGTGTGCCGCTACTGAACTTCCTTCTCATGAGGTTTTGTCTGACATTTTGTTCATGATGGAATTGGTTGCTGCGACTTCTTCAGATGAAGAAGATTGTACTCATATCTATACACAGACATCACGCTTGGTAATTTTTTTTTGTTTCTGGTTTTCCTTGTTTTAATTTCTCTACTTTAATGTGTACTTATTAGTAGCAAATGTTTTTGTTTTGTTTTGTTTTTGTTTTTTTGAATGATTTTAGATGTGATTTTGCTTCTTGTGTTCTTACAGGTCCATGATATATGTCGTCGCGTCTCTTTCGATATAAAATTCTCCTCTTTCGATAGTGTTCTTAATTGTTTCCGGAAGATGCTGGATCTCTTACTTGGAAAAGTTGCTACTGGTGACGAGTTAACTGGAATTTGCAGTATTGCTACAATAATTCCTGCTATTGAATGCTTAAAGGCTATCAGGTTCTTTTTTGCTCCTGAAAAGAATTGACACTTAATGCAATCTTGCCTAGGCAGTTCACATAACAATGTATTTTTTTGGGTTGTTATTGCTGTATTAATGCTTTTATATAGACTTAACCATATAATTCTTTGCCTAAATTGGTTCAGTCTATTATATAGGCATAATTAAGTAATTATTTGCCTAAAGTAATGAGTAATCTATGGAAACAAAATGTTTACAATAATTACAATGATATACAGTGAATATTATGCGGTAAAAGATAGTAAACAATGTGGGACTATGACAACACTTTCCCTGGGGAGTAGACATCTATCATTTTGAGCTTGCCAATAAGATACTGAAACCTCTCCATAGGATTTCCTTTAGTTAACACATTTGCTAGCTGCATTCCTGAAGGAGCGTATATTGTGGTGATCAGGTCAATATCGAGTTTCTCCTTTATGAAATGCTGATCTATCTCAATATGTTAAGTTCCATCATGCTAAACCAGATTATAAGCAATGCTAATGGGGTTTTGTTGTCTTAAAGCCAAAGGAGTTTCACACTTTGGCGCATCCCTGAAGGAACGTTTGTTGTGGTAATCAGGCCACTATCGAGATTCTCCTTTATGAAATGCCGGTCTATCTCAATATGTTTAGTTCTGTCATGTTGAACTGAACTATGTGCAATGCAAATGGTGGATTTGTTGTCAGAAGCAATTTCATAGGAGTTTCATTCTTCATCTATAGTAGCTGATAAAGTCCATGTGCCATAGCTTGAAACTCAACCTTTGCGCTTGAATGGACAACAACATTTTGCTTCTTACTCCTCCATGTAACTTGGTTTCCTCTCAAGAACATACAGCAGAAAAGTTGATCTCCTATCAATAACTGATTCTGCATAGTTAGCATCTTCACATACTTTCATGGACAAATTTCCATCCTTCTTGAATAATAATACTCTGCAAGGTGTTGCTTTACGATACTATAATATCCTCTCCATTGCCTCTGGGTGTCTTACTCTCAGGTCATGCATGAACTGACTAACGACACTCATAGCATATGCTAGATTGGATTTCGTATGTGCCTAGTATATCAGCTCACCAACTAACCTCTGATATTGAGCTTTATGAGCTTTGGGACTGTCTTCATTATTTCATTTCCCATTCTTTGGTTCTGCTCAATGGGAATGCCACCGGCCTTGTAACTTAGCTTCCCGGTTTCCCTAAGAAGGTCAAGGACATACTTCCTTTGAGAAATAAAAATACCTTGTTTAGAGTAAACAAATTCAATCCTAAGTAAGTAGTTGAGTCTTCCAAGATCATTCATGTAAAGTTTGAACTGCTAGTTTTTCCTTTAGACGTTGTTTCTCAACCGAATCATTATCTGATATAATAATGTCATCAACATACACAAGTAAGACAAGGGGTTTACCTTCCTCAACATGCTTGAAGTAAATAGTCTGATCACCCTAAATCTGCCTCTATCCCAAGGGCACTATTGCCTTTGTGAATCTTCCTAACCATCCATGGGGAAATTGATATAGTCTATATAAGGCCTTCTTTAACTAATATATCATATTTTCTCCATTTAGAGAATCATATCCGGGTGGAATCTCCATTTAAAATTTCTCCTCCAAGTTTCCATGAGGAAAAGCATTTTCAACATCAAATTGTTGCAATTCCCACCCATGATGTGCAGCCAGAGAGTAAAATTCTTAATCTTTGCCACAAGGGTAAATGTCTTCTCATAGTTGATTCCATATCTTTGATATCAAGTTGAATGGAAAAGTATTGAATAATATTTCTTCTGAATAATACTGTACATTGGTTCAGTCTATTATATAGACTTAACTAAATAGTTACTTGCCTAAAATAATGATTAATCTGTGAAAACAGAATATTTACAATAATTACAATGATATGCAGTGAAATATTATGCACTAAGGAATAGTAAAAGATATGGGACAATGACAACATGTATTCCATTATCTTGAAATAATACTTTGTTGTTGCTTTTCTATTATATATAATGTTATGATTATATATTCCATTATTTTAAAATGATAGTTGTAATTTTTGTTGTTACTTTAGTAGTATATATGAGATTGAAATTCTGAGCTGTAGTCATTATGCTTTATTTCTTTTATTTATTCTGAAAGGATGTTGTTAATTGCTATTTGCTTCTTATAACCACAATGTGTGTTGGCAACCTGAGCTACTGTGTGGGCAGACTTTGCTTGTAGTTTAGGGGATCAAATCCTCCACTGGAAGGACCTTGTGACTATGACTTATGCCATTAGACACTTGAGAGGGATTAGCCCCTCATCTGAAGGGTGTGTAAACACTAAAAAGAAAATATTGTGTTTTCCTTACTCTGTTGATTACAAAATGGCATCATTAATAGGGAATTATGGAAGAGGCTGTACACTAATATATGCCTAAAAATTAAGAGAGGAATCTCTTGGTAAATGGTAACCAAAATTACAGATGGTAAATCCCTAAAACATAGGAACTAATAACCACGCCTAGGTGTACATAGGGTACAGAATCAGAAGATTTGGTTTGTTTCTAAAGATCAGGAACCGACCACAGACACCTTCTGCGAGACTACAAAAAAAAAAGCTCTTGACCTTTTCTAATGGTTTTTATTTTCTTAAAGTTTTTCAGTCTGATAGTTTATCAATTATTATATTTTTGAATAATTTGAATATGCTTTTTTATTTTGGATTTTTTAAAGTTTCTGGTGTATATGTATTTTTGCATTTTGAAGTGTGGTCATTTTATGTTTTTAAATATGAATAGACGAATACTGTTTATGCAGTAATATTATTGAACTCTTGCTTGAAAAGGGTTAATGTTGTTCTACCAAATTGAGTTTTGCTGTTAATATCTTTCAACTTATGGTTTGGTAGATGATACTTTTAATTTACACTGTACAAAATCTGCTCCCTGTCCAGGTGTATTATTACTTTATCTCATCGAAGATGGTTGCAGTCTGAAGATACCATACTGGTTAAATTTCTACTTGATGTTATTATTAGCTCTCATGGTGTTTCATGTTTGATGCCTCATTCAATATGTATAGAAAAACCTACTGAAATTAATATGAGACTATCCCCCAAAAGCAGTTCAAGCGAATTACAGACAGTAGCTTTTGGGATGCTCAGTGAAGTAATCTCAAGAAGTGGGTCATCCTTCCCAGTTGATATCTGGAGATCAATGGTTGAGGTATATAATACTTCTGCCTTTTTGTGTGTGTGTGTGTGTGTAAAACTTGTATATTAATTGAAGCAAAATTTTTAACTGCTCTGTTCTGAAATAGGTGGTCAGAAAAACAATGGATGTCTTGGTATTAAAAACTCCAGTTGTCGAAGATAATATTATGTCTAGGTAATCTGTGTGGTGGGAGATATGAATGGAAGGCATTGATGAAACTCTTTAAGATTTTCATGCTTTGGCCATATGTCATTCCTTACAAGTCACTCACGCGTCTTTTCTGTAGGTTTTATGAATCTTTTCTGGGCTGTCTGCATCTGATCCTCATAAATTCTAAATGTTCTGTTTCTGATCATGTAAGTTAAGACATTTTCATATTTATACAAAGAATAAATTAATGTTTTACCCATAACCATTGTGACACTTGGGTTCTTTCTCTAGCTGTCAGTTTTTGTTGCTGTTCTGCGAATGTTCTTAATTTATGGCATTTCTGGTAGAACACCAAATACTTTTCTGGTTTTTGGTCATGAGAAGAAGGAGCTTAATAATGTGAGCCCTAATGCAAGCTGTGAACAGCTGAACAAGTCAGATCATAGCGCATATAGGCCTCCACACTTGCGCAAAAGAGACTGCTCAAATGTGAAGCACAATAGGGCTAGGCATTCCCAATATACCTCAGATAATGAATCTTCTACTGTCAATGTTTCATCTTCAGATTCAGATTTTAGCGATGGAGATGGATCAGCCAAAGAGAGTGCTAAAGCGCCGAACTCTAGGGTTAGAATAGCTTCCATAATCTGTATACAGGTAAATTCCAAAACTGTTGTCCTTTCACTTTTCTATTGTACTTTCATGAGAACTTAAATCCTTAAGGTTGAAGTTAATGTTAAGTTTGACCAAAATTCAAATTTAAAAATTTGTCAAGATTCTTAGTGGTCAAAAGGCTAGGATGGAGATTAAAAAATTAGTGATAACATAGTTTTGAAGAAACTAGAACAAATTTATGACCAATTTGCCTACTATTATAAGTTATATCTGCCTTTTCCCCCTTAACTCCCCCATCATCCCATTGCTTTGGTTTAATTAGATAGTTTTGGAAGCCTTACATCAATTGGGTGTATGCATGTAAATTTATACACAATTAATATAGTCATAGTTTAGTGTAGTACTAAACGAAGAATGTAAAGAAAGGGAAGAGAGAATTAGCGAATCTGAAATGATATGAGTTTCAGAATTGTGAAAATGATAACCACAATTTAGAGAGAATTACAGAGGGGTCTATTTATAGACTGATAGATTCCCGAACCCAATTAACGCACGAATGAAGAAAATAATACTGGATTTGTATTTAATAAACCAAATGAGCAATTTCATTCATCAGAGTTCTCATACTCTCAATACAGTAATCCAAAACAATGGAAACAAAATGCTACTGTTTAATCCTAACCAAATAACAAATCAATAACAGATAGTGTGGAGCACATAGAGAGGCTCCACTCTCTCCCAAATTCTCTCCCAAATTCCCACAAGGGACCCAATAAACATCATTCTCCAAGCTGTCCATCCTCACCTCTTGCTCCCCATTTTATCTTCCATTTCTCACGCCCTTTTCTAACGAACTCCCACTCACATCTTGGTCCACGTGGGTAATCTGTTGAAGGGCAATATTGGCAACATTGGGAACTTGGACAAGCTTGCCTTCTTTGGTTACGGAATTACCCTCCTGGTCGTTTATCATTGGGCTGGATTGGTTGTTGGGAGCCCAAACCTTTCTAGTCTTGCTCCTTTTGTAAACCTGTAGAGGAAATGTATCAATACTTTCCCCCCAATAAAAGCACCTTATCCTCAAGGTGGAAATGGGGAAATTGACGTTGGATGACTGAATAATCTTCCCAAGTATTCTCAAACGCGGGGAGATGCTGCCATTTAATTAAAACCTCTACGGAACCACCCGAAGCACGTCGCCATTGTAACACCTCCTCGGGTTCCACCCTTAACTCCCAATCTTCAGACAAACAAGCAGGAAGAAGTTGAACGTTGGGTACATCCATAGTTGCTGGTTTAAGTAAGGAGATGTGAAAAACAGGGTGAACCCTGCAATCAGGAGGCAACTGCAACTTATAAGCCACCTGCCTAATGCGTTGGATGACCTTGAAAAGACCATAGAATCTAGGACTCAGTTTCTCATTTAACCGCTTAGCAATAGATTTCAACCGGTATGGTTGCAATTTCAGATACACAGAATCTCCCACAGCAAACTGCAGGTCACGTCTTTCTTTATTGGCCTGTTGCACCATTCGATTTTGAGCCTAAGTCAGATTGTGATGCAACTCCTTCAGCAGTGTATCCCGTTCTAGCAACAGCTGAGACACCTCATCAATGGCAGAACCAAAAGGCTGAGCATTCAGCAAGGTAGGGGGATCCATGCCATAGAGCACCTTGAAGGGAGTGAAACCCGTGGACCCCTTATAGGTTGTATTGTACCAATACTCCGCCCAAGGGATCCATTTAGGCCACTGCCGTGGTTTGGGACCGCATATACAACGGAGATAAACCTCCAAGCACCGATTAACCACTTCCGTTTGACCATTGGCTTGAGGATGATAAGCCGTAGTGTAATGTAATTTGGTACCAGCACATTTAAAAATTTCAGACCAAAACGAGCTCATAAATAAACGATCCCTGTCAGAAACAATTGTAATAGGAAAACCATGTAACCTTACCACCTCTTTGATGAACACGTCTGCTACTTCCTTTGCTGAAAACAGATGTTTGAGGGTTAAAAAGTGTGCATATTTAGAGAAGCGGTCGACCACCACAAAGATTGTGTCCACGCCGAACGCCTTAGGCAGCCCTCCTATAAAATCCATAGAGATATCAGCCCACACCTTGGTGGGGATTGGCAAAGGCTGTAATAAACCAGCCGGAGAGACATTTTGAGATTTGCTTTGTTGACACACCCCACATGCTGCTACAAACTCGTGGATGCATTTCTTCATGCCCTCCCAGTATACTAACCTCATTAATCTTTTGTAGGTTCTCAAGAAACCCGAATGTCCACCGACACCCGAGTTGTGGAACTCCTCTAAGAGAGGAACAATAAACGAAGAGTTACTAGGGAGAACCAACCGATCCTTGTAATATAAACGTCCTCCAATCAGTTAAAAGCCATCATGAGCATTCGGTTTCAGCAGCAAGTCCTGCATCACTGCCCTTAGCTTGCTGTCTTGTTGAACCTCGCGGTCCAAAATCTCCAGGTCCGGCCACTGTAATTGGGATAAGCTAGCAAACTGCATTTGGCGAGAAAGAACGTCCACTACAAGATTCTCCTTACCAGGTTGGTATACAATCTCAAAGTCAAACCCAATCAATTTGCACAACCATTTTTGCTGATCTTCACCTAAAGCTCGCTGGTCCAATAGATGCTTCAGACTTTTTTGATCGGTTTTGACAATAAAGTGCCTGCCCATGAGGTAATGTTTCCACTTTTGTATAGCAAACACAATCGCCATTAACTCCTTTTCGTAGACCGATTTATGCATTGCGCGAGGTGAAAACCCTTGACTGCAGTAAGCCAAAGGTCTATTATTTTGCATCAAGACTGCCCCAACCCCTTTTTCAGATGCATCTGTACTGACTATAAATGGTTGCTTAAAATCTGGTAAAGCCAACACGGGAACATAGGTCATCTTGTGCTTCAACAACTGAAAGGTCTCCTCAGCTTCAGCACTCCACCTAAAGCAATCCTTTTTCAACAGGTCAGTCAATGGCTTCGCTAGTTTGCCATAATCTTGAACAAACCGTCGATAATAGCCAGTTAAACCTAAGAACCCCCTCAAGCCTTTAATATTTTTAGGTGCTGGCCACTCCATCATCGCTCTCAGTTTTTCCGTATCCGCCCGAATACCCACAGCTGAAATGATATGCCCCAGATACTCCACATGCGTGCTGCCAAACGAGCATTTCTTTTTATTGACCACTAGTTGATTCTGCCTCAGAACCTGAAATACTGCCCGAAGGTGCTCCTCATGCTCATCTCGGGTTTTGCTGTAGACCAATATGTCATCCAGAAAGACCAGGACAAATTTTCGCAAGAACCCCCTCAGGATCTCATTCATGAGGGCTTGGAAGGTTGAAGGGGCATTAGTCAAACCAAACGGCATGACTAAATATTCAGTGCCCCTCGTGTGTGCGAAATGCTGTTTTTGGTATGTCCTCCTCCCTCATTCGTATCTGGTGGTAACCAGATTTCAGGTCCAGCTTAGAGAACACCTGTGACCCACCCAATTCGTCCAGTAACTCTTCTACTACTGGTATGGGAAATTTATCTGGTACAGTGAATTTATTCAAGGCCCTGTAGTCTACACACACCCGCTAACTTCCATCCTTCTTCCTCACTAAAATAACAGGACTCGAATACGGGCTAGTACTGTGACGTATCCAACCAAAAGACAACAATTCAGCAACTAAATCTTCAATTTCTCCTTTCTGGTAATGAGGGTACCTGAAGGGTCTGAGATTGGGCACTGGACTCCGTGGCTGCAAATGGATAGCATGGTCACACACCCTTTTTGGAGGCAATGAACCTGTAGCTTGAAACAAGTCTTGAAACTCCCTGATTAGCTTCTCCAAGCCTTCCCAACCGTACCCCACTTCTGGCCGAACACTGACTTCAGAGCTAATGAAATACCCTTCCCCATGATCATGCAAAGCTTTGACCATGGATTTAAATGAGGCCTCTGATCGTGACAAAGAACTATCCCCCTTAATGGTAACTTCCGAATTGCCTTGTGCGAACCGAAATGTTAATTCCTTGAAATTGGCCCTTATTTCTCCCAGTTGCATCAACCAATCCAAACCAAGCACCACGTCTGCCCCTCCTAATTCGAACAGGTAGAGATCCTGTTTAATTTGGGCTGATTGCACCTTAAGCTCGACAGCCTTGCACACCGCCTGACAACTGACCTTGTGCCCATCCCCAACCATAACATTATAAACAGAAGTCACAGTCACGGGTAACTTGAGCTGATCCACCAGATCCTTGCTCACAAAATTGCTTGAAGCCCCGCAATCCACCATGACAATCACCTTCCTTCCTGAAATCTCCCCCCATGCTTTCAAACTTTGGTTTGAAGTGAGCCCTAAGAGGCAATTCAGGGAAAGTTGGAGTTCCTTTTCCCCTGTCCCTTCATCCTTCCTCTCCACCGCTACACTATCCTCCGGTTTTTCTTGCGGTTTGTCATCGTAGACAACGTCTTCATCATCATCGTCAACCAGAAGAAGATGAAGCTGAGGGACTGAGCACCTGTGACCTGGCTTCCATCGTTCCTCACATTTGAAACAAAGTCCCTTTTGGTGTCGATCACGCCATTCTGCTTGAGACAGCCGTCGACCTTGGCTGAAGTGGCTAGATGACGCGTGGTTCACCGAGTTTGAGCTGGAACCCCTTGACGGTGTACCTGCTTTGGTGTTCTCCATCATCGTAGAAGGGGAATTAGGGCTATTCGCATTAGAAGAGGCGTTGGGGCCAAACTGAGCACTCTTACTGGAACCTGTTTGGGCAAACGAATTTGGGCCCCCTTTTCGAAGGTCATTTGGGCCAGTACTGCCCCTCAGGCCCATTTGGGAACGCCCAGCATTCAAAGTCCAGCCTCTTCCCAAGGGTCCTGCCCCTTCGTCCTCCCACGCTAAGTTTCTCTTCTCAATTTTCATGGAGTATTTCACCATGTCAGCCAAACTCAACATTGGAATCATCAGCAATTCCTCCCTGATACTGCTACGCACATCGTTAAGCCAAGCTCCCTTAA